GTATATAGTTCGACTGACTAATGGTTAATAGTGGAGCTAGTAACTTGACCCCTCGTTATCGATCTCCTTAGGACTCACTGTGTCTGCAAGGCCATGTTTCTTGAGCCACATGAGTGCAATCAACTCAAAGACGTCTTGTACTGTAGTTATATTCGACATTACCAAGGCAAGCTATGCTTTGAGTAAGCTAAAATTTATAATCTCATGTGGCTCCAGAAAACATGGCTTTGCAGACACAATGAGTCCTAAGAAGATCGGTAACGAGGGGTCAACTCACTAGCTCTACTATTAACCATTGGTCAGTCGAACATATGTATATCATTATATATTAAATTATTATTTGAATATACTTAAATTGCGATAAATGGGTGATGAATTGAGATTGAATCATGTCCCAACGTGACCTGACAGGTCAGAAATCGATCGGCCTAATGTTACCGCAGCCAGCCTACACCACTATTAAATGGTTGTTTGAATATTCTCAAGTTGAGGCGGCCAATGGTGCAGCGGGAGTGCGTGCGTCTCATGTTTACACCCGATCTGGATTCCGCTCGGATCCTCAGTCGTGCCAGCGCTTGCAAATGCTGAGCAACAGTGCTGGCAAGCAATGAGTGCTTCTCTGTGCTAATTTGGCCGGTGTTTAGTGTCAACGCCCCACAGTTCCCGTCAAATGGGAATTTGAGCACGCGGAAATTTGCACGCGATTCAAGATAGTACAACTAAACTTGATATACACATCAAAACAGTATTTATCATGGCGTGGTCGTTTCATTCTGCCAGCTGCATACCAATATGTGTCAACAGGCGCACTCTTAAATGGACTCGGCAATAGCGCAGGCGATGGGCCAATAGAGACCGATGGCGAGGGGTCAATTAGCTCAACGTCCGATTAAGATGCCATTCATCCTTCTATTACCAGAATATCATAACACATGATTGCAAACCCCGTAAATGCAGAATAATTCATTCCCGAGAAAGTGCACTTGTGAAATAGCAAATTCTGGAAAAGTTGATCATTAAAATCACTGTTTTCAGCTGGGAATTTTCGAATTGTATCATTAAGGATATCAAAATGACCATGGTTTCATATTTCCATATTCCAAATGTCTTTTAAAGCTCAGAATGAAAATTTCTGTCAAAGTGGAGAGTTTAAGATTATACTATATCTGCAGGAAGCACTTCAGTTGCTGAACACTCACTCGTTGACCTCCATGAAAATGATGCTGCAAAATTGAATAAATTAAAAAATTCATGACATGACAGGGTTTCCCACACGCAATCATACGGTCGTCATGCGAAATACGTGGCTGAAAGAAACAACAAACGTCTAAAAACCTGGTAATTGCTTTGCACCGCTGCTTTCAGCTGAAAGTGTTTAAATTATGTCACGAAGGGTATCATTATGATCAGGGTTCCATGCTCTCCACTTTTATAGCACGATTCAGGCCCTTCAAAAACCAGAAACGGTTTCCAATTGAAGTGGAGGGTTTACGATTCTGTCATATCCGCAAGTGCTAACACCATCTGCGTCGTTTGAGAGTACAAAATGCAAGTATTCTCCATTTTTTTCGGTTCAACAACATCCCGCGACTTTCCTGTCAGCGATTACATATTCAACAAACTAAACAGAACTGCATTCTTTTTTCTCCTTCGGTATGACTCACATACTACAACAAACTATAGTGAGGAATTCATTCATTCCATTACAATAAGCTGACCTCACAGCGCTGTAGATCTTTGATTGGCTTCAATCAAAACGGCTAATTTGTTTTCAGATTGAGAAGAATGCGATATTCTCCACCTGGTAAGGTATTCTTGCCACAGACTAACATATAGAGCTATCCACACTAAGATAAAATATCCGGTGACTTCTCTTTTCCGCTTTATCCTCGGATTTTTTTTTTTGCGTCCTCGTCAGCAGAGACATATCGGCGACACGACAGAATCAATCATGAGGAAAACCTTCAGAAGGGTCTTCAACTTTTATAGAGTCGAAGCCCCTCCCAACCTCAAGCTCTTTTTTACTAATTCACAAGGATGAATACAGAAGGGTTGGTTGAGGAGGTAGGATAGATTGGACGGAGATCGATGAACAACACTTGTCGGCAAGCTCGTCATTTTAAAAGCAACATGTGATAGATCTGGCACACTCCAACAAGATGTGTTTCTAGATCTGGCACATTTAAAAAAGACGTCCTGCAAAAAGATTATTCATTCCTAACAAGCTCTTAACGGTTCCTGCATAGAAACACAGCGATTAAAAGTTATACTTCATAGTAGCCGTGAGGACTAAAAAAGAACGGAGACAGTTGGATGCGAATCACTCATAACGAGCCCCTCTGCACCTTTGAAGAAAAAATACAGGCCCCCCACTTCTACGGTAGACTTTTTAACATATGAGGAAACCATACATACCAAGAAGAAAAAAAAGGGAGCGAAAAAGCTCTATGAAATGGTAGCTGGCATTGGTGCAAATGTTGGAGCTGATTCAGAGAACCTGCAAATTGCACTCTGGCGTTGCGGGCTACTTCGTAGATGATGAAAAGCCCTGGAGCTTCTGGGGCAACTTGCTGAGCACGAACGCATTTCTAAAGTGAGGGATTCCCAATCAATTCAGGTAGAACATTTGAGGGATCGAGTAGCAGAAGTATTGAGCGCCTTTCTTAGGATATTCAGTCTTCCACAACGAAACTGTGATCATTCGCGGCCCACTCAATCTGATTATTGAAATGCGCCCCCGAATTTGACTTCCATTCGAGATCGTAGTAGCGCTTCGGATGGTTACGAGGGTCGTATATTCGATTGCAGCAGCCAGAATTGCAAAATTCGATGTTCCGTCTTTCCAGAAAAGTCTAGTAACAAATAAATGAGCCGAGAGGGATAGACGAAAGCTTGACCTAAGTATTTACTCGGATTTCCATCTCTGGACATGCGTATAGCCACTTACCATTACACCAGCTTGACGGTACATAAGTTAATACAACAATGAAACACAGGTTGCTACATCGATATCAATCTTCTGAGAAATAGACCCATGTTGGAATTTAACGCATGAAAGACCAGGTTTTTTTCCAAAAGTGTCCTCTACTTATGGGACCGAACAATGAGCTGGACAATCCTAAGGAAGATGTTGCGAGAGGAGAGTTTGCATTACGGGCCATAGGCGTATTAGCAATTGCCACGAATCTCATCCAAGTCTTTGTTTCGTATACCGCAGCATAGTCTAGCCAGTCTTTCACAATTTGAACACTTTGCATTTCGGCAAGGATCACATGGAGACCACGGCGATTATGGATTAATCTGATCGGAATTGGGCGCTGTACCATGCCTCATCGACTTTATGGAATATGAAGTTTTGGGCAGTTAAACAGAAGAGACAAAAGATCAACATTGCTTGAGAAAGTGAGTAGACAGACGCGGCTCGAATGAATTCACAACACAAAATCCACTGGAGCGTTGTGGGATTAAGAGATGTTCTTATGTTTTACATTTGGCGATAACGACCTAGCTCCGGAGCTGTTGCTTACACCAATAATTCGGAGTTCAAAATTAGGATAAACAGCGCGATTTCGTGAAGACCTTCGAACCATAAGGGTATCGACCGGATTCCTCGAAACATAAGTGAAAATACTGGATGGGAAGTATAAAATTCGTAGAAAATATAGAAAATATTATCACTAGTGTCTATAAGTGGTGGTACTCTCTTCGCAACATCCTTGCTCTGGCAGAAACTCAGGCAACAATTGGTAATAGTGCAGCACTGCGGAAACGGCTTCACCAGTCATACGGTTAAGTGAGTGACTACTAGCGATACCTCATTTTAGCTTCAAACTCAGCATAAAATCTTGGCTCTAGGAAAAATGCGTTCTTAAAACATGCTCGACGAGCTGCGTGAAATAAAAAATATGGGTATTAGGATCACTTTCTCGAAAGCGTCGATATGTTTTATCACAAACACAGAACAAAGTCTGCTCCAGCATTAGCATTCAGTTGACATATGCAAAATATCATCATGAGATGTATCACTTAAGAAATGTGTCCTACTTACCTCTACTATTTATGGCAACAACTTGCACTATCTTACTGTTTGCGAGCGAGCTATTTCAAAGGTCGTGTTACTTCCCAAATGAAACGGCAGCCCTCATTCAAGCACTTCAAGGGGAACAAGCTTGCAACCTTGCCAGTTCTATCGAAGTGACCACTCACTGATTTTATGAGCTTTTTTCCTTCCACAGTTGATCTAGTTAAGACGTTAAGCGTCGTAAGTGATTTCGATTCCTTCTGCGTTAGATGGAATGTTTTCTTATACGCATGAAATACTGTCCCCCGGCCTATTCCAATCATTTAGAAAAGGCGCAATTAAACTCTAACTGAGAACAGCGCATATGACCCCGTTCAATGCTGAAAAAAGTGGTCAGTTTGCAACCATTTTCGGGAAGTTGTTCGCAGCCTTTTACCGCGTCTATCAAGAGTCCCATTTCTGTGCCATGAAAACGACCTATACACAATACATTTATAGAGTCAACTTGAAGGTTGTTTGCCTACCATTCAGACTAACCAATTCATCGCGTCGGTTCCTTGCTGCTCAATAGTAACTTAGGGGTCGTAGAAAAAAAGCATCTCTTAAAAAAGTAAGTTTTCACTAAATAGATGTAGCTGACATGACTGAAACCAAAAGTACTACAAATGGTAAGGCTAACAACTTGAAATGGTAGCACTTGACATAAAATGATACCTAACAGACTCAATGTGTAGATCGTGGTACTGTGAGTTGTGGTAGTGAATTCGAGCATTTGATGCTCAATTTAAAACACCTTACTCCACACGCAAGCTCCTTCATATTTACTCAATTCTAACAGTAATAATTTCAAAAATGATATTCAGTTACCACGCTCATCGTTGAACTTTGATGCTATTAAGATCTGTGGTTGGTTAAGAGAAGAAAGATTTGAATTTTTTGGAGCTCGTTTTTTAGGACTACCACTTTTTCAGAAAAAGAATTAATGGTTTATGAGTAGATTCTCACAGTTGCTAGAGGTTTGAGGAGTTTCACTCTGTTGAAACCTGGTGATTTGTCTCACTGTCTCGACTTGATTTATAGGGTATCGGATAGTCGAAAAAATGTTGGACGTTGTCGTGAGCGTCTTCTGGAATATTTTTTCTTTCTATTACTCCGCTGTTGTGAAGGCGAACTTTGCATAATTCACCTCATGATGCATTTTCCCGACAGCACCCATTTTGGCTGAGCTTATTCGAGCGGAAACTTGATCTTTCAATGCTTCAGGCTTCGCTGCACTATTTGTTGTCTCTGACAAGGGTTCCATATGTTGAATGATTGACTGTGAAGAACTCATCTGCAGGGACACCGGCTTCAGTGATGCAGTCTCAAACAATGACGTGGAATGCCGGAGTGTTGTCGCTCGTGATTCGATCAAGGACGGGTTGCCCTTGTCCCTCGCCTTTCTGAAACACAATTCTTCAATTGAGTGGTCTTGATGAAAACAAAACTATGTGGAAGAAAGACAAGAAACAGCTCACTGACGCATAAGGCTTGAGTGTAGTAACATGCTGGCGAGTTAGCGTCTTCTTCGTATCTCCATAGATATTGGCTGTAATACAGAAAGAACTGCAAGCGTGGCACTCTTTCCAATGAATCATCGAAAACTCACCTATATCCCGTGGCGCAAGGTCGCAGAACCTCACCACGTAGATTTTGTCATCTATTCGGATTGCGTTTATCAGTTTATTATCGTACCTTAGATGACACAATGAAAACTCTGATCATTTTGCATGGTTTACATCATTAGGAGCTCCCAACACCAGCTCAGGCTAAGCTAGCCTGCTCTCGCCCGCAGTCTGTCAGACTCGCTTATGAGTGTACCAATGGGAAATGAACGTTAACGCGTACGTTGTATTATATCCACGATCGCTCATCTACGATGAATTCATTCGTCGGAATATTGTGTAGGAATCAGATAATTCTCTCTAGACTTGAGCACTGGGACCGCTTTGAGGCATCCGCTCGATATATTCCGTTTGAGCAGAATCATTGGTGGCTGACCATAGCATCGTCCACCCGGGGCACCCATCCTGCTATGAAATTTCAACCACCCTCCTTTTAGCTGCCCCAACCATTTTCGCTGTATTCTAGAACGCTTTCAGACAGAGTTATGAATCTTCAATCTCGGCTACACTCAATTCATCGCAAACCCTGACCATTCAGTGAATTGATAGCTTTTTTTTTATTAACTCTGACCACTTTTTTACCTAATTCTAGAAAATTCTATACAGATGAATGGATTTTTGATTCAAGCCCCGCCCTCCACAGTATTAACACCCCCCTACTTTGAAAAGTTGACCACACTTGTTCTGTTACCTCTGAACACTTTTTCCCGTATTCTGAAGCGTTTCTGCACAGAGTTATAGGTTTTGATCTATCCTCCGCCGACTTGGGTGTGAAGCACGATCTTTTCCGAGGGTAATTTACGTCGTTCTATTGTTTTTCAGAACTCTTCACGAGGTTTGTAAACAAGCTTTATTAGGCTGACGTTTCGACGATGTCGCCTTCTCCAGAGCCTGAAAGGATCATAGCAATCTGCTACTATCTGACCAGACGTCTCCACCAACTTACCGAAGTTCGAGAACCCCAGGGCACGTAAGTGATCGAAAGGAAAGGCACTCACCGTAGATTTTTACCAACCGACCAGTGTCAGCTGGGGTAAAATACCCTGAAGAAGGAGATATCGCCGAAACGTCAGCCTAATAAAGCTTGTTTACAAACCTCGTGATGGGTTCAGAAAAACAATAAACTCAACAATACAGTTATGCCGAGGTGCATAGAAAGCCGTACTTTGAAGTTAATTCACGTCATTCTATTCTCTTTAACCACTTTTTTCCCGCATTCTAAAAAGTTTCTGTGGTTTCTACACAAAGCCATAAATTTCTGACACAAATTCCGCCCACTTTATTGTTAACGCCACTCACTTTTGGGGACTGGCCGCGTTTTTCTTTCACGTCTTGCCACTTTTCCCCGCATCCTAGAACGAAGAATTTCTGAACAGAGTTATATTCACTTTGGAGAAGCAGCTCCCATTTCAACGCACGGTCCACCCCTCGTGACAGAGCTTCGCTGACAAGCACTCCCAGTACGCACAAAGCCTTGCTCGCTCTATTCACTTTAACTAGCCTCCACGCTTCTAATGAATCGAGTAATGAGCTTATGTGGAAAGTACCGCGCACTGCGAGAACGCTCCGCTTGATGCCGGTGGGTCTCCTTTATTTCATTTGTTGACCCGTCCCTCACACTGCTTACTTTTCTCCAGCGTCTAGACTGTTATGAGATCGAATGGGAGAAATTTCACCAAGACACCGCTCACTCACGTGCACATTCCACCACCTGCGAGCGCAGCTCCGCTGAGCTCACATGTGCTCTATTGGTGTTGCCCTATGTTCAACCCATTTCAAACTTGACCCGACCACTTCACTGTTCCTTCGAGTAGTATCGAATTTCGTGACAGAGAGACAGAATGAGGTGAACATCTACACATATGTACATTCATTCGTTATTGCATAGAACAACATGTATTCTAAGGTCATTACGGACTCATTCCTTTATCTCTGAAAACCTTAACTCAGCATCACTACATTCAAACTACTACAAAATGTTAATAATTCCATACTATCGGCTTTGAATTGTTGTCAGCAATGGTGGAAGCCCAAGTTGGAAATTTTACATTACCTCTTGATTGATGAGCTCCCACGTTCGATAATTTCTTTTTCCAGCAACAAACATGTGACCAACGTCAGATGACTTGTGAAACCCCCAATACGTGTTGGTCACTTAAGTGATACCCTTGATGAAGGTCGAGATAGGGATTACATAAAAGGAACATATCACCCTATTGAGAAATGAATGAAAAACCTGAGCAACTTGCTCGAATGTCCGTTCATTCTAGGTGAACATCTTCTAGAAGGCGCAGTTAGCGATAATTCCGAAGTATTCGATTTTCTTAATGGAAGTAATCGTCCAGAATAGTGCAAAATAGGCGAAGAGAGCGCGAGGATCGGCGTATTCAAATAAATACAATGGTTCAAGAAAGTAGTAAAACGGAGGGTTGGACGAGCCTCAGGCAGAGAAATGGGTCATCGGCGATGGTTGCATGCTAAACGAGTGGGTCCTATTACGAATATTGCAACCTGTATCGCCTCTACAAATCTTCTGACATAACATCGGTCGATGGGCGTGGACGTCGACGTCGACCGATAATGGGTAGCAGTCTGCACTTGCGTACTAATAGCGACTACCGTAACCCTACGCTTACTTTTATTCAGTTTTGAGGACTGATTGTTATGGTGATTTCATGTGTTTGAGGACTTGCTTAAGTTGATCAGCTCAACTCTTCAATTTAATTTGACCTAACTATTTTGAGAGAAGTCCTGGATACCTATATCTGCAAGCACGTAGCCCTGGTCGGAAATTATCCGCGGTATTTTGCTCTGCAGCCGTAGAGCTAGACTAAAGCCGTGAATTAGGGGTATAATTTTGGGTCATTTGGTTTTGGTTGATTCTGGTTCACTTCATTTTGATCACTTCTCAATTGCGCGACTTTAAAATGAGTGTATTCATTATGAGCTGTAGTTCAAATCACTTCGCACCTCCGCCAACTGCTTGACTGTAGACCAGTCGTTGGCTATAGTCCAGCCTGAAAGTCTCACCTAAACTCATATTGCTTGTATCATTTAGAAATTTCATTGTTCTTAGGAACAGGGAAGAAGAGAAGGAAGAGAGAACATTTTGCAGCCAGCCACTGTCGAAGTCAAAATTGCTGGCCGACTTCGTAACATATTCGATCCCAATATATACTACTGCACATATAAGTTATTCCATGACATAACATACACACTATTACAAATTTGCTCGTTGGCTATACGAAGAAAAATTGGCACGACATTCTTCGGCCTTCAACTCACGCACTATACCGAGTAGACATCGGGTGGAAATTAATTTGGGGGAGGGGCACTCTCAAAAACGTTATTACAGCAAGGATGGGCAGCATCACTGTTATCCGGTTTTAGCCAAGGGCTGCACTTTTTAACTAAGCATTAGGAGGGCAGGATCATAGGGGTGGGTACGATGCTTACTTCATGCGAAAAGCTTAAATCCTGCCCAACCCGATGATCCTTTCCTCCTACTGCTTATTTATTTATTTTTTTACGGTATCTACGGTTTAGTTGAAAAATTGCATGTCCGTGGTGTAATAGGGATATCAAGGAATTAACAGGTAACCCTGTGTTAATTCCTTGATATCCTAACACACAGTCCCCATTCACGGCGAACGTCCATTGCGCGCGTCCGTCGAAAGTAGGTCACCCCGCGCAATTCGCGCGCGGCGCACTCCACTGAGGTCACACTTGGTGGTACTGTAATGTCATCTCTCGAGATGACATTACTGTACCACCAAGTGTGAGTGGAGCGGATGATTTGCATTTGTCCGTGTTATCTTCTCAATGGCTGACTGCTGCGGACCAAGCGCGTACCGTAAGCCCCACTGACAACTGCGGGGGACGGAACTTACGTGCGTCCGAGGACGCGCGCGGCAAACTGTGCGGCGAAGTGCGTGGGGATACGAACGACTCTGGCGCCTATCATTGGGGCCCAAATTTGAAGTAGAGTAGATCAGTGGTATCAGCTGACCCTACTAAACTACTCTACTTCGAGTTTGGGCCCCAATGCTAGGCGCCAGAGTCGTTCGAATCACCACGCACTTCGCCGCGCAATTTGCCGCGCGCATCCTCGGACGCACGTAAGTACCCATACCCGACAACTGCGGCGTCTGTCAAGTGTCGCAGGCTGACCCGCCGCATGCGACGGTTGCAGCGTGACCTAGTTTCGACGGACGCGCGCAACGAGGCGCACCTCTGCCCCCATTCACCACTATTCCGCAATGCTTTAAATCATAAAAGTGAAGCCGGAATACAATATCCAATGACAATTCAGACTAGCAGCGTACTTTCCACCTATTATAACCTTAAGTAACGGCGTTAGTGCATGCTTTACGGCTGCGGAGCAAAGCAGCGCTAGTACTTCCAAGGACCACATGCTTGCAGATATGGGTGACCAGGACTCCCTTCAGAACAGTTTGGTCAAGTTGAATCGACGAGTTGAGCTGCTCAACTAAGGCAAGTCCTCAAACACATGAAATCACCATAACAATCAGTCCTCAAACTGAATAAAAGTAAGCATAGAGTTACGGTAACTGCTACCAGTACGCAAGTGCAGACTGCTACCCGTGTGTAAATAGGTAGCACCCTGGATGACTCACTGAGAATGCCGAGATAACTATCCAATATGCTAGCGAAGCAAGCAGGGTGAACAAGCGATCACGTAGTAACATATACATCGAACTCACTCAATGATCGTACTTTTGGTATGACCAATGGGCTTGTTAAAAGACACTTCGCTACAGTTGAACTCGTCACGAGAACGTAAACGACAGCAGAGAATTTGTAACCTAAATACGAAACCAAGGTGAACTTTTGAACAACAGAAGTACAACAACATTTCAGAAGATAATGCACATATAAAAAAAGCACCTGGTTCCAGTAAGACGCGCAATTCCAGCCATATATTCTCTACGTTTGCAGCTGTACTCAGTGTTTTCGTCTAATAATGGGTCAAACGTCGCAGAATAATAGCAGTCCTCTCTCTCTATCTCGGCAACACCAGCTGGAATGTTTATCCATGGAAAAAGCTGAAAGTGTTGGCAGGGCATTATTCCATTATCTCAAGTGATACTTCAATGAGCACCTCTTGTACTTCTTCGCAACCCATATCAAACACAACATCTTGTCTTTTCGCTCCCACGGATTCCACGATTTTTATAGAAACATCGACAGCTGCGGCCTTAAGAGTTTCAATGAGCATGCAACCAGGAAAAAGGAAATACATTGCATAGTCGTTAGCGTACTCTTTTCGAACATTCCATTCTGAAGTTATCGAATGGCGATGATACGAAGGTGTTTCGTGCAGTAGCAACTTGCAGCAGAAGTATAACCGAGAACATCTGAAGGCGATTACTTTTCTATGAAAAATGAATGCCGTCATTCAAAACGCTCGAGTCTAGACGTACGTAAGAATATTGATCACGTCTAGAAAATGCTATTAATAACGTTGCACTTCATTCAACATGTTCGCCCAGAATTCAAGGAGGGTGCTAAGGAAGTAGTGTCCCTTTTAAGATGCGAATGAAAAAGCGGTGGTGGAAATTGAGGTCAAATCCCGTAAACTAGACAAAAGTGGCGGTGGTGACGTATCCCATTTTTTATAGAGACTAAACACCAGAGAAAAAGAGGTCATCGCTAACATTTTTTGATAATCGTATGACAGAGCATAACACTGGTTGACACTTCTCAGAATTACAGCATCTATGGAGGTAAAACTGATAAAGTATTTACAATCCACAGCAGAGCCATCCGCTGAGAACTGTGAAAATGACCTTGACTGCGCAAGGTACCCTAGTTCCCACATTGCGATCTGATTAGTTACGAAACTTCTTCATTGAAAAAGGAAGGCAAATGTTCTCATGAACAGGTACGGTATCGCAAATTACGATACCGTACTTGTACATGAGGACTGTTTATAGTATCCAAGAAAAACGAGGAAATGCCCTGAATGAGAAAGTTCGAAGATGCACTAACACTAGTCGTAGTGGGCAACTGACGGTACATAGAACCAAATCATGCAGTGCTAAAAGAAAGAAAAAAAAGTTAGAATGATTGCAAAAAAAGCCTCTAGTAAGTTTGCCTTCACTGTTTCTAATCCCAGCCTTCAACAATGGCGAAGCCATTGTTGAGGGCTGGGATTAGAAACAGTGAAGGCAAACCTACTAGAGGATATTGATTTGATTTTTATTCATCCAAAGCCTTCATAGGATCGTCACTGATAGCTTCTAATAAGGTTGGACAATCTCGGAACCAGTGGACAGATGCATAGATAGTTCAGATCCTACATGAGTAATCCTACTTTTTGGGTCTAATCCTACTGACAGTGGGATAGCCCTACGTTCATCTTTTTCCATCCTCCATTCCTCATATGGGTTGTAATCCAGTGGTCTGCTACTGTCTATTTGCCTTGAACTTAATTTGGTTTCTACTAGTTTTAATTTTCTTACCCTGATCAACACCATCTGCGATGCACTCTGTGAGTGTATCAATAAAAAATAACGAATCAGTAGATACAGCACGTTTCATAAGTACAAGATCACCCTTGAATTTGATATTTACAGGATAAGCAGCCAGACAGATAAGTTTCAAACACTGCTATCAGATCCGCCACCTTGAATTACTCCCACTCACGGACATTTTTTGAAATCAACTTCTACCATAACATGTTTAGAAATAGTTTTTAGTTTTTGCAACGCTTCATGAGTATAAGATCACGTTGCGGGTATGGAAAATTAATCATTGTTATCGGCAAAAGGAAACAAATAATATTAAATGGTTCTTTCATGGAGTAGCCCAATATCGAATAACCTACCTACCATACTCGAAACAAGGTTTTGAAGTACTCCAGCGGAGATTTCATTCATTCAACTATTTCCTCTTGAGCTTTTCTGTCGTCTGGAACTGGCGGTTGTTCATAAATTTTTCTTACAATGATGCTCCACAGATTCTAAATCGGGTTCAGTCTGGGGCTGCAAGCTGGCGATGGCAGAACTTTCATATCTTGGGAATGGAACCAGTATTTCGTACAATGACCAACGTAGATCGCAACATTGTCCAGTTGAAAAACACAGCTAAGACCACGTCGCCGGCTCAGAGACTGCACCGGATGCCGTTGAAAGAATTTCTGATGGTCGTTGGAGTCCATTTTGAAGGTCACGAAAGCAGGCTCCAGCACAACATCACGGCAAGAGACACCCCGTACAATGACCCTTCCTCCTCCATGATTGCGACGGCTGGGGTTGATCGGCTTCGTAAGTAACGCCAGTAGTAGTTGTAACCATCGGGGCCGATCAAATTGAACTTCTTTTCAACGTGAAGTACTAACTGGACGAGAATCTTTAACTGTATGGCTGACCGGTAATGCAGGCTGACCTTCGTCCAATCTCTTCTAAAATTCAACTTCGCAAATTTAAGCCTTGCTTTTCTCTGGTGGTCAGTAAGCTTCGAAGTCCTCTTCGTTGCTGCCATGACAATGTTGCTGCTCTTCCTCACGGCTCTCCGTAGAGTAATTTCCCACACCGAGAGATCCAATTCCGATTGAACTTGGTTCAGTTGAAATGCGTTGTAGAAATAGCTCCCAAAATTCCCCTCTCGTCGTTCGCGGTTAGTTTTCGGAGGTGTCCTGTCGGCATGGGGCTCTGTAGTCTTCAAATATCTTTGAAGGGAGCTGAGGGATCTCACCTCGCAATTGCCCTCATAGTGAATCCTGTATCACGAAGATTTTTATTTTGCGCTTTTCATTCTAACGAAGGATGACCTTCGCAAGGCAAAATGCATATTGTTCCGAACATACGTACTTGCGACACATTCTCTGCTATACAGTTCCACCCTAGTGCAAATTCTGCTACGCTCGATTACGAAATGTTCGTACTGTCGAAGTATTCCTATACTTATGAAAAGGAGGAAAAATCAAAAATAATCTATATAAGTGTTAATATAATGTTGAGCAAACCAAAGCACGTATATGGCGGTTATTGAAGATGATGAATCTAGTCGTGGTGCCAGAAAGATATCTGCTTGACTGCTTATTCTGTGAATACCAATTTCAAAGGTGACTTTATACATATGAAACGCACTGTAAGTATATAAATAAGTAAGCGTGAGTAAATAAATAAGTTGCATGTTATTTGGCCACATTCATTGTAGGTGATACGAGTAAAGGAATGTTCCAGAATCTCGTGTTTTTACTTCTAGCGTATTGCAGATTCCGCTTCTGATTTTTCCTAATATCGAAGCGCATGGAATGATTTGTGTGGTGCTATTCTTCTGTTTCATAAAGGTGAAAGCACTTTATGTAATCAAATTTCGAAATGCATGGAAGACGCTGATCTGTGGCACCCACTTGACCACCCCAAAGCTCAAAAATAGAGCAACAGTTCTTGAAAAGCAGTACAGAGATCCGAAGTAAAACCTTGCAAGCTCTCTGTAGCGTAATCAGCTCTCCTCATTTTGCTGAAGAACAAAGAATAAATGGAACGCAGTAAAAAAAGGGATTCCCACGATGATTCTAGGATTCACGCAAACGAGCGGATTACGCGCACACACCCTACATACTTACATGTACATACGTACAGCACACATGCACACCCACACACACACGCTGATTTCAATTAACTCCAAGTGCAGACGTAGGTCATTCACGGGCCTTCCTATTTATGTATAGAACCGATATTTCCTCGTGAGCAGGGGTGTGATGCCTTATACAAAAAAATTGGGCCTAAACTCAAAATCCCCCTCTTACCATTATGGCTGTCTTGGCATTTTACCACTGAAATCAGCGCAATGTACAGTTTTCATCTCATAAAAATGAAAAGAAGACGAAAATATTGTGCGATCATGTCTGTTTCGATGTTTCCGCTTATTCATTGATGTTTATCTCCCAGGCGGCATTTGAATCGTCGCAATTGTAGTGTTCCTTTCAGGCAACATCATTAGCTGAATGCATTTGTGCAACGGAATTTCGGACACTCTTTTCGACTCTGACTGATACAAGAGGTTGCTAGAAGTGTAGCATATCCTTACGATTGCTTAAAGGGTGCTGGTGTGAATTCAATTCTAATCGATGTGACGTGGAACCACTTATAGGCACAGTTCACGGTAATTTTGAGTTGCCCTTCTTAGGATAAAAAGCGGAAGCGTTGATGTAAAGTAGTTCACTGGTGGCGAAGAAAGCGGGAGAATCTGTCTTTTCCAAGCTTTTCAAATGTTGTGGAAGTGGAGTCTGACGAGATCACCACGACGGGAATGGCATGTAAGGAATTTTTGGACGTGATTTAACTTGCTCTCATCGTGCGGAGAGCTGACTACATCAAACCATAACTGTCCAGAATTACCTTTCACTGTCGCTATGGGTCATGACAGGTTTTTTGAACTTCCTACATTGGTTCCCATATGTGCAGCCCCTACAAAGCCGTTGAAACTTGGCCTCGATGGGTGTGACATCCACACGACACGATCTCTAGCCCTTTATTGTGCCCTATCCATAATGTTTTTCGACATTATAACGGCAGGTATGGTATGAGAATGAGCCATGAATTCATAGTATAGGGAAAACTCAGAAACAATTTTTATCGTGAACTGTGCCTTTAATTTTAAATTATACTCTGTGCGACTCCCCCTTGTGCATGTACGCTTAACTAATCCATTGAGGATTTCGCGCGCATTTCAGAGATCTGAGGAATGTTTACCCCGCGCGGAGTATGATATTCGTTGAGCTGTTTTTCCGTTGTACCCTAAATGCTCGGTATAAAGTTGTGTACTCGAAAATTTGAGCCGCGTTGAACTATAGGGTGTCCCAAAAGTTTTGAGAAAATTTATTTGGTTTATTCAACACAAAGATACTGCAACAAAAAGGTGAGATCAGTAATTGAGATAGTGGCCCTCTTTAGCCACGACGTCCCTCCATCGACCGGGCAGAGCACTGATGCCATTCATCCAGAGAGAAGAGAAGTGCGACGCGATCCATTCACCTACTGCACATTTGACCTCCTGACGGTTATGAACTTTTTTCCCTTTGAGGTAAGCTTGTAGACTCCTGGAGGAGTGGTAGTCGCAAGGGCTAAGGTCAGGTGAATACGGAGGATGGGGCGGTCAGGTGATCCCAAGCCTTTTTAGCTCCTCAGCCGTCGCCCTAGCCGTCCATCAAAATTAGGAACTTTCCTTGCATCCGGTGTGAAACCGGGGCTCCAGACACCGTCTCCCGCAGCTGTTCGCAGAATACCCTTGTAGTCACAGCAGTACCCTCAGGTAGGATCTCATAGTA